TTTTTATAATTCATGTCAGGTCCATATCTTTCTTATGGATAAACTTGGTAATTAAGTTCCTATTTCACACAAAGATTGCACATGACTTAAGGATGTGTCATGAACTTGACCCAAGGTCATTTGGGGAAGTTGAAGGTCACTGGAAAATTAACTTCATAATTTGTGTCCAGTCCATAACTTTCTTATAGATAAACTTGGTAAGTTCCTAATATTTCACATAAAGATTGTTCATGATCGTAAGGGGGGGGGGGGGGGATATTTTGTCCTGTTTGAACAGTTCTAGTTCTAGACATATTCTGTAGCCAATATGTGTATTTTATCCACCTCCCAATCATTTATAGCTGTCTTTACAGGCAATAAACTCACTTGAAGTGAATTTACAGCAATCTAACAAATAATTTTCATCAAGTGTCAGTTTATCACTTGTAGATCGTGACAAATTTATAAAATATCAGATGGATAAAAATACAGATTAGTTAAATAATGTGTTTATCTAGAATTAGGGAGTCAAAGGTAATTAATTGACCGATGCTGGAAAGTGGAGAAATTTCTCCCCCAAAAGTCTGAAAAAAATATTGCACTGTAAATTTTACATTTCGGAAAATTTTTGGTGGTTGATCATGTTGATAGTGCCTCCAACTGAAAATATATGTCCCCCTCCCCTTCAAATTGCTTCCTATGGGTCGGTATATTTGATTAATATTATAACAACATATAATTTGTTTGCATATGATACTTCAACATGCCACTCATGCATATATATACGTTATTATGAATGGAAGAAACGCTCATCGATATACGTGTAATATGTTGTCTATGATACATTTTTTTCACAGAATATCAAGCATTGATTCTCAGATGTTTCAGAACGCCAGAAAAACAATAGAAGTATTCGATTTTATTCAATAATGGTGTAATGAATATTAAAGAGCATGAGAAATAATCAATTTTAAAGATTTGTGACCCCCTTGCTTTCAGAGTCCTTGTGGATGATATATAATTTTTATGGCATAAATTGTGTAAAATATGAACGTCCTATACTATGTCTTTCAGAACTTATCACCGAAGTTAATTTTTTTTTATAAGGTCAGTCGTGATCATCAAGGGGTCAAAAATCATAGCATGCTTGAAATATCTTGTCACATGTTATGCACATTTCAAATATATGAGAGTCTTTTCTCTTTTCCTTTTGCGTCGAAAGCAAATTGAAAGTTAGGGGCAAAGTGTAAGAAAATTATTTTACACCCCCCCCCCAAAAAAAATGACTAGGAAAAGAAAAAATATAATAAGAAGAAAATGAAATATTCCTTTCGCAAAACACGAAAATTCTATTTCATAGGGAGGAACTCAGGAAGGGGTATACCTTTAAGTTTGATCTCGTACCTAAATCGGCGCGAATAATCATGGCTCGAGCCATATCAGTGCTAAACGGAATCGGCGCGAAACATCCCGGATTCTACAAGTTGGCTGGTCATAATTTTCATCATTTCATAGTTGGTCAGGTCATCATGTTTTCACGAAATGAACAGAGAAATAAAAATAAATTTGGTAAAAATGTAAAGTTAACATAAATGTTTATTCAATTTCATTTCATATTATTAAGGAGAAAATATCTTGAAAATATAATAACTGATCTTAAAATATTGTCGAATTTTATGTTGGTCAGGTCAGTCAGGTCTTTAATAGGTCAGGTTGGTGTACATAGCGAGTATGCGAGCGGGTCTAACATCTAATTTTAATTAGATTGGGTCGGTCTCTAATTTAGTGTCTTCCTTTTCCAAGTGCTTGTATAATACTAGTTAACATTAAACTTCATTATACTGATTAAAAAGGGGTTATTAAAATTCAATTATCTTTTGAAGTATTCTTAGCTCACCTGAGCCGAAGGCTCAAGTGAGCTTTATTGATCACATTTTGTCCGTCGTCCGTCCCTCTGTCCCTCCGTCCGTCTGTAAACTTTTTACATTTTCGACTTCTTCTCGAGAAACAATGGGCCAATTTTAACCAAACTTGGTACAAAGCATCCATAGGTAAAGGGGGGTTTATATTATTAAAAAGAAGGACCAAGTCCTCTTACAAGGGGAGATAATCAAGAAAGGCAAAAATAGGGTGGGTTCACTAAAACATCTTCTCAAGAACCACCGGGCCAGGAAAGCTGAAACTTATGTGGGAACATTATGACCTTGGGTAGTGTAGATATTAAATTGTTAAAATCATGACCCCTGGGGTAGGGCGGGGTCACAATAGGGAATCCAAGTTTTACATAGAAATATATAGAACAAATCTTTAAAAATCTTCTTCTCAAGAACCACTGGGCCAGGAATGCTGAAACTTATGTGGGAGCATCCTTCGGTAGTGTAGATATTAAATTGTAAAAATCATGACCCCTGGGGGTAGGGTGGAGCCACAATAGGGAATCCAAGTTTTACATAGAAATATATAGAACAAATCTTTAGAATTCTTCTTCTCAAGAACCACTGGGCCAGAAAAGCTGAAACTTATATGTGGAAACATCCTTGGGTAGTGTAGATATTAAATTGTTAAAATCATGACCCCTGGGGGTAGGGCGGGGCCACAATAGGGAATCCAAGTTTTACATAGAAATATATAGAACAAATCTTTAAAAATCTTCTTCTCAAGAACTACTTGGCCGGGAAAGCTGAAACTTTTATGGAAGCATCCTTGGGTAGTGTAGATATTATATTTAAAAAATACTGTCCCCCTTGGGAAGGGTGGGGCCACAATGGGGAATTCCAAGTCTTACATAGAGATATAAAAATAGAACAAATCTTTAAAAATCTTAATTCTTCTCAAGAACCACTGGGCCAGGAAAACTGAAACTTATGTGGAAGCATCCTTGAGTAGTGTAGATTCTAAAGTTTTAAAAAAAAAAGGGAAGAGGGTTGTTGGGCATGATAAGTAGAGCAAGAGGGGGAATCTGGTAAAGATCTGCATCACCCAAGTGACTCAGGTGAGCGATGTGGCCCATGGGCCTCTTGTTTTTCATCAAACAAACAAAGCAAATAAAACAAAATAAACAAGAAGTGACCAAGTTTATAAATAAATCGTAGATTTAAACATGCAAGTGACACTGTGTTCATTGCTGAAAATGTTAAATGTAATGTTAAACAATTATCATAATTATAGATCAAGCTTTTAAAAAGCTTATTAAAGTAAAAAAAAAAAAAAATCATGATCAGAGATCTATATGATAGTAGGTTATAGTATATTTATTTAAAGTAACAATCTTAAAAAGATCATATTTTTGTTCAACTAAAAAAATCATATGTTCAAATCAGAAAATCATCATTTGACATATATTGACACCCCCCCCCCCCCCCCCCCCCAAAAAAAAAAAATAAATAAATAAATAAAAATCAGAGCACAACTGGTTAAGCTAATGAATTTTTTGTTTAGGTTAGTTTGTTACATCAGTCAAATCAAAATATTTGTTAATTATTTAATATTTAAAGATTTGTGTTAAACTGGATCAGGATTTAACGCCGTTCAGGCCATTTGTTTTATAGACTAGAATTCAAAATATATATTATAAAATTAAACATTTTTATCATTATAACCTTTTAATTATCTTGTTTTAAATGCACTGATTCAAATATGAAATATGCTCAGTCAGGACATAATACAGTAAATCTACGTTAATTGTCAGGACAATTGATTTTTACTCCTCTAAAAAAAGAATAATTTCATTTCACTTAATAACAATTTACGTTTTAGTTTAGAGAAATATATAAAGTTATTTTCAAAATAGTTGGGCCTTTAGCTATTTGGTATAAATAATCGGTCGGACATGGTTGGTCAGGTCTTTACTTCAGAAATGATCGGTGAGGTCTTTGGCAGAAATGGTCAGTCAGGTCAATGAGGTCATTCATATATATGGTTGGTCAGGTCTTTAGTTAATCGATATAGACAGTCAGGTCTCTATATACAATTGTTGTAAGATCATTTATATTTTATTAAATTCTATAATATAATAGATTAAACATGATTTTTATATTTTATGTGCATAAAAAATACTTTTAATTATGATTTATCAATTAAATATTTCTGTTTTTAAAAGCATTTTTATCTCAAATATGAAACATTTTAATAAAAAATATCTTCCATACTGTATCTGATATTCCAAAAAAGATAGCTATCATTAATGATTTCTATTTGGTCAGGTCATTTCTTTAATTATATTTGGTCAGGTAATTAAATCAAAATTTCATGATCATGATGATATACTGATATCTTTGGTAAAACTGTTTCTAGAAGCATTTAAATTTTACCAGAAGTATTAATCGTCATAATGAAGAATATTTTCTAAAATGTATCTAATATCAGGTCATTTCATATTACCGGTCTAAAGTCATTAAAATTCCTTGTTATAAACTAAAAAAGTAAAAAGGTAAAAAATTATTCTAAAACCATTTTATCCAAAGTATTAGCCATTATAATGAAGATAGTTCTTTAAAACTTATCAAATATTTTTAAAAAATAACTAATATTGATGATTTTGGTTTTGGTCAGGTCATTAAAATTCCATGATATGAACTAACACTTGAGGTAAAAATGTTTCTAAAATCATTTTATCCAAAGTTTTAACCATTATTATGAAGAAAATTCTTTAAAACTTATCAAATGTTTAACTGTTATTGATGATTTTGGTTTTGGTCAGGTCAATTCATATTTGGTCAGGTCATTACATTTCCATGAAATGAACAAATACATAAAAATAAATACGGTAAATATGTGTAAATTAATATTTATTTAACTTTATTTCATATCATTTTCAAAAAGATATCCGAAAAAATATGATGAATGGTCTTAAAATAGTGATTTTTGACGAATTTTATATAGGTCAGGTCAGTCAGGTCTTTAGTATCTCGGGTCTTTAGTGTCTCCCCCTGCGTAGTATTAACAAACACTCGGCAGACCTCGGCCGTGGACTACTTTAAATGAGGTACAAATCGGCCGAGGTGTGCCGAGTGCAAAAAAAAAATACATTCATGCCGTCATGTCGAGTTCATCCGAAGAATCAAAATCGTCGGAGTTAGGCATTTCCAGTTCTGAAAGTACGGGTAGTTTAAGTCCACCAAGTTCTCTAGAATCAAAATCTCCCCCAAGAAGCACATCTCAGTGGAATAGTTCTTTTGTTGACACACTTGGGGTGCGACAGGTAGAAGAAGGCATTTTTGAAATTATCACACAAAGATGGCGTTTGGTATGTTTAACTGAGGATGAAGAACTGGAAGCCGAGAAGTGCCTTTCCTCTTGTGATTTACAATTAAGTTACTCCTCCTTGGAGACAGTGCCTGCTACAAACATCTATGAAAGCGGCTGGGTACTAAACCCCCAGCAGATGGAAGAAATTAAACGTTTTCCATTGCTTAGCAAGTAAGTGTACCCTCGTGGGGAGCCAGTCAAAGCATCTACGTAGCTATTAATAGCTACCTAGCAGTACCTAGCAGGGATTAATCTAGGTTTTTGGGGAAAACTACCCTATCTGGAGAAATTGGGGAAATCAGCAGAGGTATGGGAACCACTAATCTTGAGCTAAAGCCCTGCTCTAGGGTCAATATTCAGCATTTTTATGACCATTTCAACAGGTTGGGACCAATCGCCCAAATGGGATATAATAGCCCGTTTGGGCTATAATATCCCAAATGAGCTCTAAATTTACAGTGAAAAAACTGAAAATTTCCATTTTAGCAAGAAATATCATAAATCTGCATCAAAACCACAGGAGTTCGCGAACCTATCAATTTTACCGAAAATTTCAGGAAATAAAAAAAAAACGTAATACCTATAATAATAACACAAGGAGTGCAACGCAATTTTCGTCACCTGGGTACCCCTCGCTTAATATCGAGGCTTTCGCGCAATGAATATTCAATCGAAAATTATAAAACTCAAACCAATCTTTTTGGAAGGAACCATTCTTTATGGCTCTTAATGCATAAGATTTCAAACTCATGTTTTACAGCAGCAGCGGTGACATTTCTCCTCAACTTCGCTCAAATATCTGTTGTCCGTGATGCCATGACGTGACGTCACGAGCGCGTCCATTTACCCACAAAGGAACAAAACTGCCTTAAATGCTAATCTAGATGATTGAGGTCATATGCGAAAATATACCAGAGACAAGTTGGTAGACATTCAAGAAAATTTAAAACGAGAAGGTACAAGTACTTGTACTCGTATCTAAACGCAATATAGTTATCTCTAGTTAATTGTGTATGATTGTTTATTTCTGTTCCTTTTGGGTAAATGGACCGCCCGTGACGTCACGTCATGGCGTCGCGGACAACCGTTGCACTCCTTGTGTTTATAGGTATTACGTTTTTTATTTATTTCCTGAAATTTTCGGTAAAATTGATAGGTACGCAAACTCCTGTGATCAAAACACTTAAAAAGCCTATAACTTCTGGTAAGCAAGTTTTTCTGCAACCGTACCATTTGTAAGAATGTCAGACTGCTCTGCCCAATGACATCTTGGCCCAACGATACCTCGGCCCATTGACACCTCGGCTCCGACGGCTCGGCCCAAATTTGAAGACACCTCGGCTAACATACAAGACAACTCCGCCCAAACAGAAATATATTATTTTTTATTAAAATATATTTATTATTTATGCTGTTATATATCTATAAAATGCAAAAGAAAATTAATTTGATATATTTGCAATCTTCCAAGACGGCAAATTGACGGTAATTAAAAAAGACAATCCATTAGTAATTTGATCATAAGCGCTAATCAAGAAATAAACAAGAGGCGGTGCATCCTTTCATATGGGGTGGTGATTATGAGGAGTTAATTACGAGAAGCCATAATTTGGAGACTTACTCATGTTAATGTAAAGTTTCTTTAAGAAACCCTTGTTGATATAAAATATAAATTTCAAAAATAAACAAACCAATAAATCTTGCAAACCAGGGCATAAACTTCTGTGTAGATGTATTACATTGTACCTCCCATTCTAGTGTTAAATCTAAAGCAAACTAGCATGGCGCGGCGCCATGCCCCTTTTTCTCGGCGCCATGCCCTTTTTTCCAGCACCATGCCCTTATTTCCTAACCCAAAATTAATAAATATGCCCAGTTTAGGCAATATTCCTTTGCTGTTCTGTTTATTCAGTGCATGCTGATAATCCCTTTGTGTACACAACGACCAGGAAATCACTTCACGCTTGAACGCACCACACAGCCACCTGGCTAATTAACATGCCTCAGGCTGTCAGGGTAGAGGATTTAACTTGAGAAACTGTCATTTGATTGCATTGATTATGCAAGAATAAGCCCAAGACCAAGGATAAATTAACTTGTAAATTATTTACTAATTAAAATCAGGATCGTTTTTTAAACAGAAAGTAGAATAAAACACATAGTTGAACTTGAAGAAAAAACGGATATTTTATCTGAATAAAATACTTACAGTGCACCAAAAAACTGAATGTAATGTTATAAAAAGGCTTAAAAACAACAGACTAAGTTAGTTTCTTTGATTGAACAGATAGATTTGATAAGCTGAGGGTCAATGTTTCTAATTGAAGCCAGAGTTTTTTTTTAACAATATATTGGGAGTAAGACCAGTTTCACTTTATCCTGTTGGTAGAATATTTTCCAAGTAAATAGAATGGTCTCTACATGTATTTTTCAAAATGTCCCTCCCCCTCTTTCCTGAAAAAAGTATTTTTAAATTGACTGTACTAGTACACAAATAACACAGTCCAAGTAGGTAAAAAAAAAAAACACCTCCAAACTTTAATAATTTTTGAAGATGTTTCAGCTAGATTAATACCATTACTTTCTCAAGCGTAACCTTACTACTTTTTTGATTAAAGAAATTGGATGTAAATGCCTTTTATATCCTTTTTTGTTTCAATAATTGTCATGTCAGCCCAGGTGTGCTAATTGTGTTGATATTTTTAAAAAATGAATGGAATACAGATATATGAATTTATCTTTAAAATACTTGTTTAAATAAAGATTTCAGTATGAAAGGATATTAAAAGTAATTAAACACGTTAAAGTATGTAAAAATTAATGATTAATAAATCTTTATAAAGACATTTTAATACATTTGTTTTAAAAGTGCCCTCGTGAGATCCCGTCGCGACACAAAGTGCCCTTTTGATTCCTTGATTACCATGCCCTTTTTAGGGTCTAGATTTAACACTACATTCAACGGGTTATAATTTGATGTTGTGCTGTGGTTTGTTAGAAACACTGAAATATTGAAATAATCCTATATTTATAGTGTACATGTGTACTTATCATGCTTATAGTGATTTAATATATACATAGTACACATTTACATTACCATGGCATTGAAAGTACAAAAAATGAAACTAATTTAAACAAACTAAATTAAATTTTATTCCTTGGGCCGAGCTGTCTTCAGTCTGGGCCGAGGTGTCAATGATTTTGAGCCGACCTGTCAGGGCCGAGGTGTCAACCAGCACGGGCCGAGGTGTAGTCTGTCTACCATTTGTAAGATTGATCCCTAAGAAGTTAAGGAACTTCCGAAGGATCAATCTCCTAAACAATGGGCATACAGGAAAACTTGTCAACCAAAAGTTATTCCTTTTTACATTTCCTGATGCGGATTTATGATATTTATAGCCAAAATTTAAAAAAAATCAATTTTTGCACTGTAAATTTATAGCCCATTTGGGATATACCCAAACGGGCTATTATATCCCACTTGGGCGATTGGGCCCAACCTGTTCAAGTGCATGAAGTAGCAAAGTAAAACCATATTTCTCAGTTTTTATGAAGGAAAAAGAAATATTTCAGGTGTTTACTATTGTAAGGGGAATATTTTATAACTCATCAAAAGGGGAAAATTAGATCTTCAGGGGAAATTTTTTCCATGGGAAAAACAGCCAATATTGGTAGTAGATATGCCCTAGATTAATCCCTGCCTAGGTATTTAAAGCTACCCAAAGTAGCTATTTTTACGTACTTTTTATAATTTCTACATTTTGCGGCACAAAGACCAAAAGGCTCAACATGGTGAATACCACATCTTTTGATACAGTCACACTAATGATGAACCACAGGGGCCAGTAACAGGCTAAATTGGAATTTACGTATTGACTATATATATACAACTTTTTTTGTATATATATAGTCAATACGTAAATTCCAATTTAGCCTGTTACTGGCCCCTGTGTGATGAACAGGTCCAGCACAATACCCCAATAAAGGTTTATAGCTTGATAAAGCTATATAGTATATAGCTTTATCAAGGTATTACCAATACCTTGATCAAGGTATTTTATGTAATGAAAATTCAAAAAAATTCTTACAAAATTAAATACTGAAGTTCAAGTTCTGAGTTGTTAGGGCCCCGCAAGGATTTGCGGGTGCCCTATAGTAATCACTCTGTCTGTCCGTCCGTCTGTCCGTCTGTCTGTCCGTCTGTCACTCTTCCGTCCACAAATTTTCTGTTTTTTTCTAATAACTTTTTTTATGGTTGCCCAATCAAGTTTAAATTTGGTATGGTAGTTCAATAGGCAGAAATACATATTTTGATGCTAAGTTTAATTCTCTATGTCTTCTAGTTTGGAGCTGGGGTGGTGGGGTAGATTCCTTAACTATGCATAAGAATGAACTTGCAACTTTTTTTATGGTTGCCCAATTAAGATCAAATTTGGTGCAGTAGTTCAGTAGGCAAAAATACATATTTTGATGCTAAGTTTGGTTCTCTATGTCCCTTGGTTTGGAGCTGGGGTGGTGGGGTAGATTCCTTAACTTTATATAAGAATGCATTGGCAAAGAGAGATAACTGCTGAAGTTGTTCCCATTCAGTAAACTGAATGCTTCTAGGAGCCCCATGGGATTAATTAGCTTTCCTCCTGAAGAAAATCCAGAGCATTATCTTTATCTGTCACATTGAGATTAATTGCCACCTCTGTCTGCAAATGAAGTTTGTTTTGAAGTTAAATCAATTTGGAATGCTATGAACACTCTGAAATGTGGATATTTAAATATAAATTTTTATTTATTTTTGTTTGATAGTTATGATTTCATTGAATTCTAAAAAAAAAAAGAATAGAAATTGATTAAAGAAGATTTTTTGATTTACCAGGGTACTTTTTTTCTCACTTTTTTTTTAAAATATATTAATTCAAGAATATTTTAAATTTTAATGTAGTTGTATGAAAACCCCATTCTATCATTAATACTGAAAAAGTTCTTATTGTAAATTTAGAAGAAAATGATGAGAGAGGTACAATCAATCCCTTGGGATTATCTAGCCTGCTGCAGAAAATTTAGTAGGCTTTTCTTTATCTGTCACTTTAAGATTAATGAAAACCTTTGTCTGCAACTGCTGTTTGTTTGAAGTTAAGGTCAAGCCTTCATGATATTTGCATTCATTGAAGGCTGGCATTTTATATAACACAAGATTCATAATTGTTTGAAAATACATTCAATATTAAGTTGTTCTTTACTGCCTAATGTAAATACAAGGATATTATTTTCAGGTTTTTGAATATTCGGGAATTATCTTGAAATTTTAAGAATACAGTTGCTGTTGCTTTTTCTTTGTACATTTATTAATCATTCTGTAAGCTGCACCCTTTTAATTCTTCCCCATGGCGGGGCCCTTGCTGACTGGTCAGTTTTCTAGTTGTCAGTGTGTCTACTCGTGCATGAAAAACACTCTTGTATCAAAATGACAGCATAAAAAGAATATCTCCTCACATGCCATGATTTTATACTGATTTCTTTGTGTTTGAGTACTTTACATGCATGGATGAATTTACTGACAAAAACTCAGAACTCGACTTATAGTATTATCGGTACATTTTTAAAGAATTTTTTGAATTTTCATTGTACATAAAATACCTGAATCAAGGTATTGATAATAAGGGCTCTCGATTCTCTAATTCTGGGGTCGATATTCGGTCCCGTTCCCAATGCAAAATAGGTACCCTTTTTCCCAAAAGAAAGGTGTAAATTTCCCAATTTCTATAGCAAAATATTAGTTAAAAAATGAAAGTCCATGAAACTGAATCGCAAAAAAAAAAACAACAAACAAACAAAACACATTTGCAAATGAAAGTGAAACCGTACCACTATTTCATTAGTTCGCGCCAAATGCATTCGAAACTGGTTCAGGGAACCAGGTTATTGTTTTTACAAAAATGTATACAACTATGAGTGCAGAGTATCTTGTCACGTAGTTTCGACGAAAAACATCATTTTGGTTTCAAAAAGAAACATTTCATTTAAACATTAGTAAGCTGCACCTATAAACAATCCCACGCTTCGGCAAGTTCAGTATCGTGCTGTATTGGTAAGCGAAGTTGTCCATGTGATCGAGGAAATTCGGGACGATGTGACTGGCGACTGCATGTCACCCAGAAGACATAACAGTAATCATCAACACTCAAAGATAGTAATGACAAATCTAATGTACTTTCTTAAATACTATAGCTTACGTATCCATCTTTGTTCTGTTTAACTGTTTATTCAAAACCAGAGTTAAATTGATGAGAAATCCAACTTTTCCCAAAATGACGATAATTTTCCCAATTTGAACGGCCCCGGCCCCAGTCCCAAAAAGTGGTGTGAGAGCCCTGTAATACTGATAAAGCTATCTAGCTTTATCAAGCTATTTACCTTTATAGGGGTATTGTGCTGGACCTGATGAAAACGACAAAATTTTGGGCATGATTACTTTCTGAATCTGCAATTTTACATTAGTTTCTATGCAGAATTGAGGGAATATATGAAGTTATCTTTTTTGGGCCAAATTTTTTTCATATCCATCATCAGTGTAGCTGCAGAACTGTAATTGGGAATTAATGAAAATTTAGTGGTATATTTTAAAAATCTTCTTCTCAAGAACCACTGTGCCAAAAAAGATGAAACTTGTGGGGAAACATACTCAGGTAGTGTAGATTCAAGTTTGTTCAAATCATGACCCCAGGGGGTAGGGCGGGGCCAAAATGGCCGACCAAAGTTTTACATAGAAATATATAGGAAAATTCTTTAAAAATCTTCTTCTCAAGAATGACAAAGCCTTATGTATGTACAGGTTTGTACGAAGTAAGGATCATAGCAAACAAAAGCTTTGAAATGACTGACCGTTCTCAATTTACGAAAGAAAAACATAAATGTATGCCAACCCCTGCCACATTCTTCTTTGTATATATCGGGATTTCCGCAGTAAAATTTGTTGAATTGTACGGTTTAGATATTTATAATTAATGATTTGTGAAGAAAAGTTTGCTAATTTTGATTGTTTATTTTTCACATTTTATTGGGGCCCATAAGCTAAGTGCACTCATTCTTTAATTTTTTTTTTCTCTGCAGGTTTCTTGTGAAACTAGATGACTTCAATTTTGTGATGGCAGAAATAATCGTTGGAATTAATTCAAAGTCAGGAATATCTGAAGGCAGATATGAGGCATTATTTGACAAGCTCTTGCAACTCTTTGGATTATATACTTTGTGAGTATTTAAAAGTGTATGGATGAAAATCTTTTTTTTAGTCCCTCAAGTGACCTATTGCAATTTGTTAGGTCAACTGAGTTGAAGATTCAAGTGAGTTTTCCTGATTAAAAGGATCACTTCATAATAAATAGGGATTTGTCCTATATTGGACCGGGCTTGTTTTTTTCTCTACAAAAACCTTGTCGATTTCTGTTCTGATTAAGGGCAGTAGGTTGAATACATATAACAATTTGTTTTCCTAAATCTTTTTTTCAGCGTGTAGAGGTAGTAGGAACCCTTTCATTGATTTCTGTGTTTGTTCTCTCAAAATGTAATAAATTGATATTTGTCTTAACTTCTCAATGTGCATAATGGTAATGTTTACTGCCTCTGAAATTCTATTCTTTATGTCTTGCCTATTTTATCCATGAATATTTAAGGAATCAATGTTGTTTTAAATTTTAAGGAATATTATGCACTTATCCACTGGTTGTGAGTGGGATTAGCTCTATTATCAAACCTGCGACTTGGAACTATTCCCCGAGGGCTTGCCCAAGGGAAATAGTCCCTGTCAAGGGTTTGATAAACAGTCTGGGGCATAACTCAAACAAGTTATTTTCAAAAATAACTCAAATGAGTTATTTTACATTATTTCACACACAAATTTTTTTTTTGAAAAATAACTTAAATTAATTATTTTTATATCCTGCTTGGACATTGATTTCATGGAAATTTTGTGTTTCCTGCCAATTTGCATTGCATTTTGGGATTCCATTATGTAATACTAGATGGAGTTCACAGACTCCAATGGAAAATTGGTGAGGAGGTGGAGATAAACAGCATTTTACTCCTTTTTTGTGGTTTTATCCACATGATGTCTATGTCCAATTTTTATCAATAAATTAAAAAAATTCCCCACTTTTCCCAAGACTTTGGACACTTTACCTGCATTGAGCAAGGTTTAGATTTAGTCAAACATTTGTTTTTGTCTTTGTGCACGAGCAAAATCCTTTGGTGCACGGGGTGTAAAGTTAGGGAGGAATGACACAAAATTACTTAAACAAGTTATTATTTTATTGAGGCTATTTCGGAAAAATAACGTGTTTGAGTTATTAAGGTTGGGAAAAAGTAGGTCATAGCAAAGAGAAGTAACTCATTGAGACAAAAAAAACTCATTTGATTGATTGATTGATTGTATACTGTTTAACGTCCCTCTCCAAAATATTTTACTGATATGGAGGCGTCACCATTGCCATTGAGCAGGGAGGGATTTTTATCGTGCCACACCTGCTGTGACACGGGGCCTCGGTTTATACGGTCTCATCCGAAGGAATGCCCCATTAAGTCGCCTTTTACGACAAGCAAGAGGGTACCGAGGATCTATTCTAACCCGGAATCCCACGGGGATACTCATTTGAGTTATTTTTGAAAATAACTTGTTTAAGTTATGCCCCTGACTGATAAAAGAGCTATCCCAGTCACAAACAGTGGATAAGCGTTTTATTATACTGATGTATAATATATTTTCTTTCACTCAGGTGACCTATTGCTATCCGTTGTTGTCCAGCGTCGTGCGCCGTGCGTTAACATTTAAACATTTTCAGCTTCTTCTCTCAAACTGCTTAACCAATTTCAACCAAATTTGGCACAAAGCATCTATGGGTGAAAGGGAACAAAAATTGTGAATTTCATGGTCCTTGCCCCCCTGGGGCCTGAGGGGTGGGGCCAAAACCACTTAAATTAGTGCAATCTTTAAAAATCTTCTTTACTCCTGGATGTCAAAAAGTCAAACTGTTTGCATGATTGTAATCAGCATTGAGTCCTCTACCAAAATTGTGAAATTCATGGCCCTAGGGTTAGGGGTGCTAGTGCTAGGGCGGGGCTAAATATACTGTATAGTGAAAATGCATTACTACTTTGGAGATCTTTTTCTCTGCTCCTGGGCATTAAATAAGCTAACCAAGTACATAATTATGTTGAATAAGATTTCCTTTTCAAATATTGTGAATTTCATGGCCCCAGGGTCAGCGGTTCTGGTGTTAGGGCGGGGCTCTATTGAACTTGGATTTAATTCTACAAGTGGTAATCCTACTTATACATATACTTCTCTTTCTAAGGAAGAAATTCTTCAAAATCACCTGTCAGTTTTGAATACTTTTAATATTCCACAGAGCCAAAATGAATTTGAACTACCTTATATATATTGGATTCCGAAACTTCATAAGAATCCTTACAAACAAAGATACATTGCAGGTTCCAGTAAATGTTCAACCAAGCCTCTTTCGTTACTTCTCACTAAAATATTGACAGTAATGAAAGAAAAACTTCAAGAGTACTGTACAAATATATATTCAAGAATTGGTGTAAATCAGATGTGCATACCTAAAAATTCTAAAGAACTTTTGGACAATTTGAAATCACAAGACTTTACAAAAATCAACAGCATAAAAACTTGCGATTTTTCAACTTAATACACAACAAATCCCCACGAAAAATTAAAATCCAGGCTTTTTGATATCATTGACAGCTGCTTCTTCATCAAAAATGGAA